CAACCACCTTTTTGTAAGTACATCGCGTATCGTGTCGAATCGTCTTGCGTTAGTAGAGTATTCTATAAATATTTAGTGACTCTTATTTCCTTATTCCTCTCGCCGGCGTGGCACTTGAATTTTTTTTTATTATTTCTCTTATTAATTCTGAAAATTTGCAGTCGTTTACGCGCAAATTACAGCGTATTTCTATAAAAATATAGAGAAATCTTTTCTTTATCTATTTCAAGTTTTAAATTCTTTCAATAGTAAACTATATAGAAATATTTATTTACATTTAATTGCTTATAAATGCTTTTTATTAGATAAATAATGAAACAGAAATGTTTTGCACTTTAATAAAATTAATTTCTGTTATTTTTCTAAGAAAGCGTTATATTTTATTAAATAATACATGCTTTTTACATATTTTATTGATTTTATTTAAGCATTTTATAAATGCTTAAATAATATATATTTTGTTATTTCTAAATTTATTTATTAAAATAATATAATTAGTTAAAAACACAAAAAAATGAAGTTTTATATATTCTGGCTGATATTAAAAAACTTTTTGTAAGTAAAAGAGTTATATACTCCAGGAGCATATTTTGTTTGAATACTTTTAAAATTTCAAAATAGATTATTCTGCGCGTTCAACCCAGCTAATTTTATAATATATTTCAATGAAAAGATGTTGCTGATATTGAAAAGTACTGTGGTTTCACTGAGAGAAAGAAAAAGAGGATTTTTATCTTTTGTTATATTTTTAAAATACGAAAATTGTGACCACGAAACGCGATTTTAAGAGAGATGCAAAAGAAAATTCGTTGAGAGATTTCCATCGAAGCTGCTACAACAGCAGCCACATTTTCGCCCAGACGAAGTTCCGCATTTATCGTGAATTTCCGTCAGTAAATCTGTTAAAGAAGAGCTTCTTTTACAAAAAGCTATATCGCGAGCGACTTTTGCACATATTCCACACGTACGTGAATGGAAGGATTAAGTAAAATAGGTCATGATGCGTTGCATCGAAGCTGCGAGAAATTTTATCATTGATTCATATCAAGAACTTTATTATATGTTACACATTTCATCGTACATTTTATTATATCTTTCGCAAATTTTATCATCGTCAAGCCTTGTTAAGCTGCAATTGTGACTTTCCAACAAGGAATTCTTACAATAATTAACAAAAATATATCCTTTGATCATAGAAAATTTAATGTTTTTATTTGTTTATTTGTAATATTTTATTTTGTTGTATTTGCGGGCTTAGCCGAAAATTAATGTAAATTTCATGCAATCAATGTGCATGATATGCAACTCCCTAATTCATCAATTTATTTCCATCTGGTGCACCGGGAATTTCGGGAAAACGCGTCGGGTCTAATTTGGCGAGTTAGACTAGCACGTTTAAAGGTAAACAAGATACTAATTTGATCGTGCAAACATCACGCTGCTCTTGTAATATTCCTAAAGTAAAATTGAAACGTGATTGGCTCATTTACCATTAATTATTGTATATAGCAATATCACGGTAAGATGAAGAGATCTAATAATTTAACACACAAAATTATATGAATTTTTAAGAAACATCGCAATGATTTATGTGATGATTATTGGTGATTTATAATATGAAATATTGATAAGACTTATAAAATTAAAAATATCAAACGGAAAGCTCCAATTAAATTAGATATATTATAAATTGATAATATTAAAAATGCCTATTAAAGAGTCGACATAAGTTTTTAAAGTAAACGAAATTTATTAGAATTAATATAAAAGAAATAATAAGTGTTCTGACATTAAGTTTTTTACATCATTTTCTCAGTACAATTTTAGTGATGATTTTAACAAATTTTAAATAAAATTAAGATAAAAGTCACAATCAAATGTCCTAAACACATTTAATAACCTATACGAAATGATGTAATAAATATATTAGCTAGAGTATATCGGATGATAATTCAAGATGGATTCTTCAAGAAGATGCTCTAAAAATTTGATACAGACTTATAGCAATTACAAAGTTATTGAAGTATGTGTGTAATGTGATACAGACTCTGAGTCATTATACGTAGAACGAAAAGTTCACCAAAGTCGTTTTTATACAAAAACCATATTCTGTTATCAAATCGAAAATTATATGCATTAAAATTTGAAAAAAATTTACGTTTATAATTTATTGAGCGAATGTATTGAAAGCAGAAATGAGATTTACAAAATTAAATTAGGACGAGTGCTCTAGTTAAGTTGAACAACGTGAGTATTGTGAGTTATCTTGACAATGACTCTATGCGAACTTTCAAAACCAGTTTCTTCTCTAACGCGAAACTACATCATCCAGGATCGCCACCATCATATGTTTCTGCCGCCGTTTCGACGGTCGTATCGCTCGTAAATCTCTGTCGGGGACAGTCGACACGAGCGGGACAGATCGGCCCCAGCGAAAAGGTCCCGACGATCGCAATAAATCATCGAGTCTGCTGTGCTTCGGTCAATTACAAAGCTGCGTCGGTAAATAACGAATTACGCGGCTTTCAATTTACCCATGCAGTATAATGGCCATTCCATCGAATTTCGTCGGCATCGAAAGCTTTATGAATGCCCCCGGGATCGTTCCGCGTGTATAGTCTCTCGGATCGACCAGACTTCACACTCTGGCTTTCGCGTTCTCGTTAGTCTTCATTAGCTAATTAACGTCACGCTGCGCAGAACGAATGAATGAAAGAAAAAATAGCATGCAAGCTATGACAAGCAGAATAGACGCAGTACTGAATTTTGACTTCGTGTCGCATCGTTGCCTGCGTTCCCGATAATCTGCCATGTTGTGCTGTAAAAAGTTTGTTACTGTAATAATTTACTGTATAAAGTTATGATAGATTGTTGGACCGGAAATAGAAGTATTACAATGCTCATCAGTGTATTCGTTTAACTAATATAATATATAGAGGGGTTTAATATTATTTTGTTTGAAGTTGAAGCAACTCAGAATATACATATTTTATTAAGCTAAATAGCCAATTAATAAAATACCTAAAAAAGGGAATATTATACTGCAAATACAGAGCAGTTTGAAAAAATTATTATTTAAATTTTTTATAAAATAAAAATTTTATGGACATAGATACAAATTTTATTGATATCATATATCCGCAATGAAAATCAAAAAGTAAAATGTAATTTTTACAATCTAAACAATTTATATTTCAAGTTTAAAATTTAAACAAGTTTTTAAATTTAATTTTTAAACACTTCTATAGGTGTGTATACTGCACACAAATAAATAAATTAAAAATTATGTTTTCGATGGTAACTTATTGAAAAAATACATGATGTTAGGGAAACAAGCATGTTTTATTCTAGCATAAATCTATTACAAATATTTAAGTAAAAGAAAAAGTCCTATTTTTGAAGTTGATTTTTATAATGTTTTTATATATAAATTTGGAAATACAACAAATATTTAAATGTTAGGATAATTCCAGTATATACGCCGGTATATACCTATCAAAAACTTAATTTATTAAGTATTATTTACTATGTTTAAAGTAAATGTTTAAAGTAAACGAATTATATCAGTAAAAACTTTGTAGTCTACTATTATGAAAAAAATATTAGAAATCTGAAATATTTATATTTCTATTAAAAAATGAACTTTTTTAAACCCTTGCATTTTTCCTATACTAGGGGTGGGATATATGGCTACTATAGGGGGAGAGAGAGAGAGCGTATGTCACGAAAAATCACGAAAAATTTACAAATAATGCATATAAATAAGATGTAAAAAGACACAATAATTTATAAAATATAAATAATGCGTTTATAAGTTTTATTAAGGAATAAGAATGATATATGTAAATGATATACAAGACAACAAACCAAAGAATACAAGAGCAAAGTACTTGTATTTTGTTATTACAACATGCTTTCTATTATACTATTCCTTTACACTCAAGTATCACGAAATAACCACTAAGTCTTTTTCACATCCTACAGTAATCATTTTATGTAGATTATAATTTATGATGGTGCTACTTAACACAGTGACAAATCGATTCAACTCACAATAATTTCATTATTTTATTGTATTTTAACAGTAAGAAATTGAAATCATAACACTATATTAATATAACATGAAGACATATATATAGAGTAGTTGCGGAAAAATTACCCTCACTCCTTCTATTTTTTCTGACTTCTGCGGTGTAAATCCCAGCGCGGCGTATTTGCCGAAATTACCTTATATCAATACATTTCGAGTTTTAGAACATAATTACATTTATACGGCAGGTAGAAGTGAAATATATTTATGATCGATACATCAAATGTAGTTACGAGGAATTGGTGATGAGTTGCCATGTTTCAGAAACTCTAAACTAGACAAGGGAAAATTAGAGGGAAAATATCGATGTTGTATCATATTTATACGAAACTACAACACTACCAAAACTTCTATACTACCAAAAGAGATTCAGAATCATGTAATATCTATGAATATTTCGTTACGTAATTCTCAGTAAATCTTTTCTTTCTGTATCTCTTCATCAATCTTACAAAAAGTCCGCAACGATGGCATTAAATTACTTTGTTTGCGAACTACACAGCGAAACTAACTTTCAGTGTACTCAAGTCTACTCAAGTCAACAATTTCCTACCAAAAGAAGACACATAAGAAGACAGACGCTGGAGCATTACATCGATCGTCACCGTTCGTTGATCATTTCTAACGATTAGCAGCCAAAAAAGTTTTTTTCGAACGCATAAAAAGGCGAGAGGGATGAAGGACTGGCCTTGAAGAGCTGGTCGGGCCTGCAAGGCCTACCGAAGGAGAAAGAACAAGAGGAACCGACCACCGGGAGGGTCGTCACCCCTTCCTAAAAAAAGGGGTCGAGGCCTGGCACCAGGTCAAAAGCTCGGTCACAATAGGTTGCCTGCAAAGCGTTGGTTCTAGGGGGTCGGAGGCGGAGGAGGAGGGTGGTGGCGTCGGGGGCAGCGAGGGAGGCGGCACGAGTATGTGCTGCGTCCTTCAAGGTGCCGAGAGAGTGTTCCCCTCCGTTGGGAACGGGGGGAAACACGGAACGGGAGTGGGAAGCGGCAAGGGTGCCGGTGATACCCCCGTGGGCGCCCAGGATCTACCCCTCGAGTCGCTCTGGGCAGCTGGCCTGGACGAGGGGATGGGGTTTCCGCAGAGATGTTCCTATGCGAATCAACATACCACTCTCGCCGCGTCTTCTTCTACGAGCCACACATCTCCTGCGAACCCCGACGAACTCTGGAGAGAGAGAAACTTTCCTCATAGGTATATATTATTTATAAAATTAATTAATGAAGGTTTAAAACTTTTACTGATTTTTTAATTTTAATTTTAATTAAGAAGAAAACAACTTAATCAATTTTGATATTAATATATTTATATCAAAAGTATTTTTTCAAATCGGTTAGGAATACTTTATTTTTATGTTCAATTATCTCAATATTAAAAAACTTTTAGTTTTGAAAAAATTTCACGGAAGTTGAGGCATATTACAAGTAGAACTAAAAAAACTTTGATGTGCAAATGGTTCTTATTATTTTCCAATTTTTAGAATCTAATTTTTTTAGAATCTAATTGTCAATCATTTATTGAAAAAAAATTCAGAAAACAATATTGCAATTTGTCATATTTTTTGGTCATGAAAATGATCTAAGTACACCTATTATGTTTACTATGCATCTTTGCATTAATTTCATCTATGACCAATTCTTTTAATCTGACAAAAAAGTTTAACTTTCTATTATATATAAATTTAAAGTCTAATTAAACTCTCTTCAAAAGAAGATCACTTAACTTCTAAAATTTCATTATATTTGTTATTCCTCTCAAACAACAATTAGAACAAAATCAAGTATACGTTATTGGGTTTTTGAAAATATTCTCCTTCCTCCTCCCCAACATCCTACTGTATCAATACAATAGCGGCTATAGAAAGGCTCGCTCGCGCAGAACGCCTACGACCTCCACGGGAATCGGTTCCTCGATTACGGATGAGATATGGACATCGGCGAACGAGCGGCGATTCTGCCGTACTTCGACCACCTCGACTGGCATCGGGTCGTCCCTGAACTTACACGAGAACAATCGCTCGTTGGAGTCACGCGACGGCGATTTCTACTCCACGGATATCGAGGATTCGAAGGACACATCCTATCGGAGATTCTACCCGACCACACCGACTACTTCCGGTTTGGGTTCATCCTCGGATCGTCAATCCGTGGAAACGCAGTGTGGTTCCAGAGATTTACCGGATCATCTCTGGGCAGCCGCGATGGAAGATGGTTTCTCGCGCTTCAATGCCATGAAGTCACTGCAGACAATCACGCGACAGCCTCGTCCAAATCACGACTGGGTGAAGACCGAGCGTATCTCCAGGTTTACCAAACATCGCACCATCAGTCAATCGCCACAACACGAGCAGGAAATCTGGACATCCAAGTTGAACGAGAGTGCAGTAGTCTCCGGTTATGCCACGCAACGGAATCTTGGTCCACACAAATGCCATCATCAAGCACGCAGGAGCTTCTCCACATCGATCGTTGCGGATCTTGCCGTCACACCGGATGGATCTCAGCAGAGTCTTGGCAGTGGCGAGTTCTTGGTGAGTTTTGGTGTTATTTCGGTGTTGTGTCCTGTGATAATTGTTTAATGTATTTTCTTATCTGCTGTTTAGTGATAAAATTTTTTTAAATGACAAAATCATATCTTTAGGTTTCTAAATGCTAAGCATAAGTTAAAATTACGCACATAACTTCTAATGCAAATATCCTTTCAAATATTATTTGTATCTATCTTGAGATTAAATAAGTCGAGTTTATGCAGTTCTTACACAGAGCTGAAAATATATGATACTCGTAAAACGAGTCGCAACTTCATGGAAAGAATGATTTTGTTGAAGTACTTAAAAATTTAGCCAGATGCAGATCTGAAAATAATTTTATTGAACTATCAAAATAATTATGTAGAAATCTCAGACATGATGAGCAACGTTGCAAACAATTTTGACATGCTATCAATCAGTTTGAGCGCTTACATAATTATTTATCAATAGTCTAACGAAATTATTTTCAGAGCTGTATCTAACAAAATTTTTAGATGCTTCAGCAAATTTTTTTTCCATACTTTTTCAAACACACAAATTATGGATCTGAAACATTCTTAGAACCAATACAATTCGCACATTGAAGTCTTATTATAGTTATTATTGCTGCAATTGCATCACAAAATACTGTACCATTTACGGATTTAATAATGTCCGGTATTTACGCACCGAACTTTTTTTTTACAAAGGTTCAAAAAAATTAGGTTTTGCATTTTCTACAAATAATCTTCCCAGCCGGTTCGTAAAAATGCACCGCCGATAGGAAAGAGAACAAAATTATTATATGAACCAAAATTATTATATGTATTCGCTACGCGGTTTCCAACCATTGATTATCGTAATGACCTCGGGTACCCGAAGAAACGTCCTCGAAGTGAAGTGGGTGAATGAGCTCTCAACTCTTTCTTCTCTTTTCCACATCGCGGGAAGGAATTTAACTCACTGACTTATCGCGCCTGGCTTTGGATTACCTCGCGACAAAATCGCGTAGCCTGGTCGCGAAACTCGTTCCTAGTTTCCTTTTCCTCGCGATGAAGGCTTTGACGCAAACACTCTCGGGTTCGTAAACTGAATTTATCGCCGCGTCGCGATAGCACGCGGTTTGTGTACTCTTTAAGATGGATTATAGACTTTCTTCTTCCGACTTCTTCCTCAGGCAATTTTCCGCGACAATTGAATATATATCCTGGAATGAGTCACGCGAGATTCACGCTTAAATCTAGAGTGAAAACAGATTAGACAATAATATATTGCATCTCTTAAATAAAATCAATGAAATTAAATATACATTGTTTAATATGTCCTGTATATTTTGTATATATTTTTATCAAAATAATTAAAATTAAATAATTAATTTCTCTAGAGAAGCATATTTGTTATCGAATTATAATAATAAAATTGTTGAATTAATATCTAAAACATATTTGTCTATAATAAATTATTTTTTTAATAAAAAAAAACAGTCTTTTTCTTAAATATCGAGTACTTGTTCAAAATTTAATCCAAAATTTGCCGATTTTTGTATAATTCAATTAATTTAAAGCATAAATCGATTCCTTGTCATGATTTTATTATCATTCGAAAATAATGGCCGATCTTAATGTTTTTCCTTTCCCGAGATTTGATAAATAAAATTCACCAAATAAAACATAAACGGAACACGAAAACAGCATGTCTGTCCGTGTGGCGTGTAACTAAGTTGACAGAAACTATTATTAAAATAGTGAGCGTTGCTCGTAGAAACTCGAGTAAGTACGCTTGCTGAATCTCGAAAAATTGTCGGAAGCTGAACGGTAAAAATTTTAAATCTGACTTTTCGCAAGCATACACGTACAATATATCAAAAGTTTTACGAGCGATATCTTTTGTGTACGCGCTGACGCGAGAAAGACACAACTATATCACCCCGGTCTATATTCAAATACTTGCCCGAGTACCACCCAGATATCATTGTATTCTTGTTGTTCATGTATATTAAACAAGGATAAAATGATATCTAGGGAGCACTTGAGTGAAAATTTGAATGTGCTCCAGCATAAATCTTTGAATTTTTAATACAAGGTTTATAATTTAGTGAATCGTGTAATTGACTCTGTGAAGAATAGTTTATGTATATTATGTAGTATATTATGTAGTATATTATGTCGATTACGTAGTGTATTCAATATTCAAATAGCACAGAGGGTTTAAAAAAATTTAAAAAGAATTCGGTCGTATGTCATAAATTCTGAGTTCATTTTCAAATGCAAAAAGAATTCTTTTTATATCTGAAAAGGAACCCAGAATTAATGACATACGACTGAATTCTTTTTGAACTCTCTATTCTTTTTCTCTTTGTGCTATCTGGGTATTCTATAAATTTTTTTTTGTAGGATCCTTTTTTTTTAATTTAATTTAAATTATGTGAGTTAATTATAAACTTGAATAATTAATTAATCAAAAGAATTCGGAAGTTACATGTATAAAATTATATCATTCATCAAATAGAGTTCATACATTTTCTATGTGCTAGAAAATAAATAATAAAATATAGTCGATTGTTTTCTGGTTGCATTGTAAATGAGACATTTTAATCGTTTTTAATGTCTATATTATAGTTTTCTGTATTACCTAATAAAGATTTTATTGCGATATGATTGATATTGACTTTGCAAGCATACATTTTATATGTTAGCACGATGGTTGGATACGATATATTAACCGCTAAAAACAACATTTTTTCTAAACCGCCACGTCTACATTACCGCTTATATTCCATCACGTATTCCATTGCTCAATGCAACACGTCCACTCAATGCAGTATATTCGCTCAACGCAGCACGTTTTCTAATATGCGTTTACGCGTATCTTCTTCCAATAATGAGAATAGACTAGCATAATTGCAATTGATATTATCCGAGTTGCATGTGTATAGATTAAGATGAAGCATGGGAGAGACAAATTGGACTTTAATTAAAAATTGATTCAATGATTATTTCCACTTATTTTAACATTTTTATTATACGAACAATTAGTGAAAAGCGTTTATTTAATTATTCGAAGAGGAATTATATTAATTATTAAGGATATAATATTCATTATGATATAGAGTATATCATAATGAATATTATATCATACAATTATGATATAGAGTCCGTATAGAGTCCTGTAATATACACAATCGTGATAACAAGTAGTGTAATTATTAAATAATAACAAGTGCAAAAATAATATAAGTATAATATTATATATAATGATATAGGTATGTGTGTAATAAAAGTAATAATGCATGCAAGATTCAAAATATATTGTAGGATAAAGCTGCCGAAATCGCATTTTTTTCTCATAAAAATATTAAGTTTTTTAATAAACTATAATCTTTATACCAAAATTATAAATCTTTTTTCTTTCTTATATGATATAATTAAATAATAATTCTACTATACTACATGTTATGAATGTAACATAGCAGCATTAAGTACTATGTAATTCTCAAATAATCTGTAAGAAAGTGTATGAGTATAATAATTGAATTTTTAGGCGAGATAGTGAGTTTTAACAACCTTACTCTATAAATAAATCTTAAATAATGTCAGTGAGTTTAGGAAATAGTTGTTGTGCAGCATTGATAAAGTGACACGAAATTTATGTCACTTATTTGGACATGCGGAAATAACTATTGTTTCACGCGGTGCGTCATGTGCGACAAAGTCGAGGCGAATGTTCATTTCGTGCACGATGAACGAAAGAATAGCTTTGTCAAGCGGCTGAATGCTTGTTGTCCTCGCGTACGTTCTCGCATGCAACATCGCTTGTAGCAACGAAATCTAGTCTGAAATCTGTCCGGAAAACGATGTACGATGATGATGAGACATAAAAGCCATTCTACTTGGGGATATTACAGCCGGATATCATGATTCATCTTTTTTTCATTGTGGTTCATGATTTCCCGTAAAATGAAGGAGTGCGTCACGTGACTCACGGTCGTTTTCCTTCGTTGGATAATTCCGACCATTGGGATGCATCATTAATTTCCTCGCTCCAGAAAGTACCGCTGCTAAGTTAGAGTACGTAATTGATTCGGGTAACGGAAATTGTTACAGCTAACTTTTGTTTGGAGATTGAAAGTTCTGTGTCTTGGAGAATAATATGTACAAGATAGCAAGGAAGGGAGAAAACGAATTTTCTTTATGAAGAGTATCATTTTAATTTTAATTTTTTATAAAAATACGAAACTGAATTTCGAACGTTAATAAAATCGAATAATTATAATTTTAATTAATTACGCGTTATTGATTGTGAGATAAATAAAATGAGTGGAGAAGAAATATAAATACACGTGAAAAAACTTATAAGCTGACGCTTATATTTAGTACTTGTTTTTGATGATACCCTGCACAAAGATTCTCTTTCTACCTCGCTACTCTTTGAGTCGCTTTGCTTAATTAGTCGTCTCTTTCTGTGTGTCATCCTGGAGCTTTCCATCTTGCAAATAAATGCAAAGAGAAGCCAACTCGTCTATATTTGCACGTTGGGCAAAAAGTATATCAACATGCGCACTTTGCTACAGGATTTTAACATGTAGTTCTTGGCAACCGAGCAAGAAGAACGATCCAATTAGAGTCGATGGAGTCCTCTGCGCACATTCCAATATTTCAAGCGTTAACTTTTTTCATTTACAATTAGACGCTTTTACTTTTTTTTTTCCGAAAGCTTCACGATGCGACGGTCTGCAAGTGGCGCTTTTCGACGCGTAATTAATACGATTAGCGGCCACGACGAACATATAAAATATGTTCTGAAAGTTCCTCTTTGGTATACCTGTTACACAGACACTTTGGTTGCAGAGCAGAAGAAAATGTGAATAGTGATAAAGTTTTTAACCGGTTTAATTTTGTGACATACATTCTTTCGCTATTAAATTGTTTATTATACGACATACTAAAGCTTGATTTCTTCTCAGAGAAGATCTGAAGAACGTCTAAACAAGATTCCAGAATGTTTACCGTAATTTTCTAACA